AGCTTATAGCCTCCTGAGACTCTACTCCCTCTTCGAACGCGTTTGAAAGCCAAGCGCCGGCGTCCCGCGTTCGACGTCCGTGTTCGAACGCGTTCCAACACTGAGTAGTGACAAAGGCAACTAGCTTCGCGGTTAACCAGTAATCATCCCAGTGAGGGCTCTGCGTTCTCTGATCCCGAGGCGCTCTCGTCTTCACCCTGGGTGTCCAACCGCATCTACAGAGTGGGCGACAAGGATTGAACGCATATTAAACTGACCGCAGAAATCAGTTTGTCATTTTACCGCGCTGGGATTTACTACTTAACTGGTGCATTCAATAATTGAGAGTATGAACACACGAAACTTTCGGAGTCTAAAGAACGAAAATAATAAAACTGTTTTTTGTATGAAAACATTATCGCTGCGCTTTTCATCTCAAAATCGTCAAAAAAGAGTCGTGGCCATTCTGGCGTTTACTATGACTAAAAAATTTGTGAAATGAACATCAAATAAAATTGACCTACCTATTCTTCACTTCATTTGGCCTAAATAAGCGCCACAGTAACGCATAATAGTTAGTGTACATGCAACGTATAAGGAAAACATAGTTTTTGCTTTTTCTTGATTTACTCAGGTGAGCCAATCTTTCCAGAATTTTAGCGAAAGCTTCCAACAATTTCAGGCACATCTGTAGTAAATCCTAGCGCGATAAGTTAAGAGAACGATTCATGCGGTCACTTGAAAATGGGTTCGATCTATTTCGCCCACGCTGCTGCAGTCGCTTGGAAGCAACGACACCGACGAAAATGTCACCACCACCGAAACCCAGAAGCGGGTTTCACCACACGGTTCCTCTTGATACGGGGAAGCAACCTCAATTCGGCCGGGTGAAGGGCGCGGTTTGTCGAGCTACTTAGCATTCACGGAACGTTCAACCTCTCAACGCTACTCCAACGACAGAAAAAAAAAAGAAAAGAAAAAAAGGAAGTAAAAAAAAGAAGATTGATTTGGTTCGTTGAATTACACAAAAAAAAGAGGTTCGAATTGAATTATACCAACATCGTAACCTTTTCGTGCGTGTCAAAACGCAGTCTGAGTTGTGACATTAAACAACGTAAAAGGTCACGCTTCCATTGCTTAATATCACAACTCAGACTGCGGTTTTCGGTCTAGACATTTGTTTCGGCATCGTCATTCGCTGAGCTGCCTCTGTAAGTTGCGGTGATTGGCTCTCCAAGTCTTGTGCGGGAAAGTAGACGCACAGGTTTTTATTTTTTTATTAGGGTGTACATAAATCGCCGATATACATATATTGAAAGCATATTTAAAATTTACTAGTTGTAAATACACCCATTTTTTGTGTTTGTGTGTGCTTGTGTATGTGTTCAAGGTTGCGCGGAAGCCGTTTTGCATGCACCAATTTCCATGTAATTTTGGGTTAATTTTTCGCCACACGTATTCCAGCCTCTACTCAACAAATCGTGATTCCTTTCTAATGATACGGCTTTTGTGTCTGGATTAAATGAACGAATTGTGTTATTTCTCACAGGGAGTATTCGTATAAAATTCACATATAATAGGCAGTTTTCGTAGATCGTTTCCCGTGTGTCGCACCGCTCTCCAAAACCCGCTACGATACCCGGAACTCTACAGTCAAGGCCATGGGCGCGCAGGCGCAGTAGCGGCGTCTTCCTCACGGAGGGCTTAGCGGAGGGAGAAACGCGGTCTACAAAAGCTCCCTAATACTGTCCTTGTTGGCGATCAATGTGTGCTCGCTGTGCCTGCGGTGGCATATGAAAATGCACTCCTAGCTGCTAGTCATTCGTCGTAAGTTTTATCTCTACAGTACCGTTAGACCATGATATGGCAAATAAATATCTGTGGATGCAGCTTGACTAAAACTTTTCTTGAAATGATCATGTTGAATTTCTCGTAAAAAAAAAAAAAAAATTCGCGCTTTTTCGGGGTACTTGTACAGGATCCGTAGTATGGCAAGTGTTTCTCTTGGAACACCAGTATATAAGCTGCTGGGGGAAACCACCCCTGCATATGGCATCTCGTTATGTGGAATAGATAAATACTCAAACAAACTGCAATTAATTTTGCCTATGAAACGATGTACGACGATGTCGAAAAATGTAAGAAACTGCGTATCTGGGAATGTTAACTATAGAAGAATTGAACTTGTATGTCATTTTATTAAAGGTTACTATTGCCGTGCGCGCAGCTGGTCAAGCAGGCAGCGCGCGAGTCGCCTAATGGTTATCACGCTTGTCTCCCACGCGAAAAGCCAGGGTTCGATTTATTTATTTATTTATTTATTTTCATACTCTCAATGCCCGGAGGCTCTACAGAGAGGAGTGGGTGGTACAGATGAAATCGTTGGCAAGCTTCTTGAAGTATGTGACGTCCTGGATGGACACGATGGAGGCAGGGAGGTGGTTCCATTCGCTAGATGTTCTTGGAATAAAAGAGTCAAAATAGATGTTCGTATGACATGTCGGCGTGCCAACCTTACACTGGTGATCGTGACGAGGTGACACATATGACGGGTGAAAAAGTAGTTGATCTTTTAGAATTGGATTAGAATAATAGACTTTATGGAAAAGACAAAGACGAAAGTATTTACGGCGTAAAGCAAGGTCAGGTAAGTCCAAAGTTGTCTTCATTGATGAAACACTAGCAGTACGAGAATAATTAGAAAGGATAAAACGGGCTGCTCGGTTCTGGACTGATTCGAGAATGTGTGATAATGTTACATGACCCGGATCCCAAACGGAACAGGCGTATTCGAGTTTCGGCCTGACTAAGGCTTTATATAATTGCAGTTTGACGGGAAGATTAGCGGAACGAAAATGGCGCCGCAAAAACCCAAGCATACGATTAGCATTATTAGAGACATAGTCAACGTGCATGTTCCAGGAAAGGTTATGAGTTATGTGAATACCAAGATACTTGTATGAAGCAACAGCATCTAATGGTATATCATTAAGGATGTACATGGCAGGGTCAGTGTTTTTAGAGAGTCGCGAAACACGCATGCTTTTACATTTAGTAACGTTAAGCTTCATTAGGGATTCAGCGCACCAAGAAGAAACTACGTCAAGGTCTGACTGTAGTATAGCACACTCTTGGGCATTAGTAATTACGCGATAAAGTACACAGTCATCCGCGAACAATTTAATAGAGGAGACAATTTGCGATGGGAGGTCGTTAATGTAGACTAAAAACAAGAGAGGCCCTAGGACAGATCCCTGTGGTACCCCGGACGTTACAGGAGTAGTAGAAGAATTATGCCCATTGACAGAAACATATTGTGAGCGGTTAGATAAAAAACATTTAATCCAGCCCAAGATGTTAGGATCGATATTAAGTTTACTCAGTTTCAAGAGAAGTAGGTCGTGCGAGACAGAATCGAAAGCCTTAGCAAAATCTAAGAAAATGCAGTCAACTATTAGCCCGGCATCAATGGCAACCATCAGGTCATTAGTAAACGATACGAGCTGTGTTTCACAAGAAAAAAATTTTCGGAACCCGTGTTGACAATTAGTAAAAAAAGAATTGTACTCGAGGAAGGCAACAAGGTGAGAGTAAATGATATGTTCAAGCAATTTACACGGCACACTAGTCAATGATATGGGCCTGTAGTTAAGTGGGGAGTGAGCAGTACCTGATTTATGCAAAGGAACCACCTTCCCTACCTTCCAATCGTTGGGTAACGTGCAACACTGCAAAGACTGTGAAAAAATTTCGGAAAGAATCAAAGATGAATAGGTGGCGGTGCTCTTCAGGAATTTTGAGTTGATTCCGTCAATCCCAGCACACGCAGAAATTTTAAGCTTCTGGATTAAACAGTCGACACCAAATGAATCAATACTAACAGGAAACATAGGACTATAATTAGGGCTGAAAACAATGGGGTAACAGGTAGGAGTCGTGTGGGAAAAATAAGAAGCAAACACATCATTCAGGACATTGCAACAATCGTTTAGATCTACAGGAACATTATTCGCATCACAAAGCTCAACCGCACTGGATCTACTACCGCTGACCACGCTCCAAAACTTTCGTGGGTTATCTTTTAAAAGAGAAAAAAGTGTACACTGATAAAACTCCTGCTTTGATTGTGCGACAGCTTGTTTATATTCCGTATCAGCAGCTTCGTAAGCGTCCCAGCGCTCAGCACTTTTCGTTAATTTTGCGCGCCGAAATACCCGTTTCTTTTTATTTCGCAGACGCTTAAGGCGTGCGTTAAACCAAGGTGCCTGTGAATTAGAGCGGATGCGCTTCAGAGGGATGTACTGGTCAGTTAGGTCACTCACTTTTTGCTTGAAGAGAGACCAATTTTCTTCAACCGTTCGCGTATGAAAACGTGAGATGTAATCAGTTAGAAACGTGTCTAATTCATTATTAATTGAAACAAAATCGGCATTTTTGTAGTCACGAATAATCTTAAATGCTTTATATGAGGAAGCAGATGCCTGCAGGTCGAACTGAATAACACAATGGTCACTTAAACCTGGTAAGTATGTTAAGGGAGACACAAGCTCAGGGGTTGTAGTGAGAATGAGGTCTAATACATTGGAAGAATGAGATGAACATCGTGTAGGCTCTTGTACAAGTTGCTTTAAATTAAAATCAAGACAAAGGCTTAGAAACGAAAGAGCCTGTAATGAGTGATCACTTACTGTGGGGGTGTCACTTTTCCAGTTAATTGTGGGAAAATTAAAATCCCCCAGAAGAAGCAAAGACGAAGAAGGAAAACGTACTACCAATCTATTTAAGACATCGTGAAGCTCAGAGCAAAATGTACTAGACGAAGCGGGGGGTCGATAGCAGGCGCAAAAAATAAAATCCTTGTTTCTGACATGTACACGGGCACACACGAACTCTAATGATAGGTTAAGTGGTATAACGCTCGATATTATAGAATCACGAACAGCGATAAGAACACCGCCACCTGAGCGCGAGTCACGATTGAAACGATAAAATTTGTACATACCTTCACACTCGAAAATTTCACTGTCAGCAATTTTACTAGAAAGCCACGTTTCGGTCAGGATAACAATATCAGCTGTACACGTGTCGATAAGAGATGACAAAGCGTCGCGTTTGTTGCACACGCTTCGCACGTTAGAATACAATATTGAGATAGCGTTAGTCGCCGGGCCTTTACATAGTTATGTTGATGACGCGTGTGAATTATAATTGCTTGGACCAGGTGCGGAAACTGCGTTATCGGTGCCCGGTTGCGGAGCGGAAACTGTATTATTGGCACCCGGAGGGAGAGACGCGGCGTTGTTAGCTTCACGAGCGTGACTAGGAGTCACTTCGCAAACACAATCTGTTACAGGGCAGTAAGTATACACCTTTTGATTAACGAGCAGCCTGTTTAGTTTGAGCGAGAACCTCTGACCGGTGCCTTTACCGAAATCGATTAACTTTTTACGTAACTGCCGCGTAGCCGGACAGAAATCCTCACTGACTGAAATTCCTGTTCCTTTCAACTTAAAACGCTGAGAAAACACATTCGCCTTGAATTTAGAGGAAGAGAATTTAACAATTATTGGCCGGCATTTATTAGTTGAGTATGAGCCTAATCTATGAGCACGGGATATTGCCTCGCCAGGTAGATCTAGTCCTAATATTGTGGAAAGATTATCGCGGATATGAGATTCTGACTGCAACCAGTCTTCGGAAAGGGTGTCGGCGATACCGTAGAAAAGTAAATTGTCACGACGGGATCTATCTTCAAGCTCATTAAGTCTTGAATTCAGAACGGTAGTTTCGCCTCGGACGGCCTCACTAACAACATTAGACAGTTCAGTAGGATGCTTTGGCACATCTAGTAATTCTACAAGTGATTCGACTGCTGCAAGTCTTGAATTGATGTCTAACACTTTTAGTTCTAGCTGATGCTGGTTATCCTTGACCTGATTTAGCATGTCAACCATTTCGGTATGACGCGCATCGTTTTTAGAAGACTGTTCAGCAATGGCAGCCAGAATATCAGCGTTAGTGATAGGGCCGGGGTTTAATTCAACGTCCCCAGACAACAAAAGTAACTTAAAAACGTGAACACACATATAAGCAATTCTAAGAAAAACCAGCGGGCACTGGAGGAGCAGCAGAAAGCCATTACAGGATCGTTTAACGTGAAAAGATGGGTATTTACGAACCTGCAGAATGAAGCAGAAGGGATTTTGAAGCGACCGCATAGCCGCCGCTCCTCTGTGCCCACTGAAAGCGTCCTGCGGTGACCAGGCGCTTAAATTCGCAGAGAATCCTGCTGTCGTTGACGATGATGCTGGCTTGGTGAAGGGGAGGGACGAAACTGTGGCATCGAACACGGGCGCGATGTCGTCACCGATAGCCGCCAGGAATACAGTGCATGATGACGGTGCAGAGATGGTGGCTGGCTGTCGAGGAGGAGGTAGCCCTGTCCCAAGGAAGGCCAAAATCTGCAGAATGAAGCAGAAGGGATTTTGAAGCGACCGCATAGCCGCCGCTCCTCTGTGCCCACTGAGAGATGCGGCACTCCTGGGAGTGCCGCATCTTTTCTTATTCCTGCAATTTAGTGTTCTGGAAAATTCGAGACTCACGTTGCTTGTTCCAGGTCCGAATGTTCTACGCATCCAACCTTCTATGCCGATTATTCCAGTAGCCCACGCGTGTACATAAGGGGCTTCGCGTGGAGAGCCAGGGTCAGTCTCGCCCCTGCGCTCGATCCTGCGATTTCACCGACGCCCGCGACGCTCTGCTGTTTTCTTCTGTTTATTTATTCTTTATTTTTTTTTGTTTTGGGCACAAGTTCGCCCCATTAAACGTTTAGTTTCTTCAGTTATCTTTGCCTCATCAATCGTCATTCGTGACACTATAAAAAGACTTCAAGTTAGTTCTAAAATACCCACGAACTCGACGGCGCATTGAGACCTTTATTTCTACAAATAGCGTGCTGAAATTATGGGAAAAGAAATATATGCTATTATGATTCACATTAATTTAATAAGTTACCGAGGGCACCTCACCACTTTGATTAATTGAAGCGAGTAAAATATGAGCAAAAATAATGGTGTATCAGAGTATCAAGTTGAACTTTAAATTATATGTACGTTGACTATAAATTCTGCGAGTTATTTTTATCCTTTTCCTCCTTGTTCGTTTTATTAGTTGAATGCGAGCAGTCATGCTTTAAAATGATGTAAACGCTGCATGTTAGCACAAAGCTCTGTGTACGAGCACTGGTTCTTTCGCAGGCGGGGTTATGTACCACACGAATGTTCGAAATGAAAGCAATTAATATTACTACTGCTACTACTACCACTATTACTCGTACTACTGCTACTACGAATAATAATATTAATAATAACAAAAATTATTATTATTATTATTATCATCATCATCATCCTTATAAGTTTATTTTATGTGCTCGTGAAGACCAAGATTGCCTTAATTATGATGCACAAGAAAGATTACACAATTGAGACGCCGATACCCGCTCAATAATGTCGTTATACACCTATTCTATGCGCGTCATGAAAACTAGCTAAGATGGTGTCAAATAACAAAGGTTGTACCCATAAAAGTAGAACGCGAATAAGGAATGTAAATTTAAAAACAAATATTATTGCAGAGTTCACTTTAAGTATATCTTTAAATACACAATAAATTTTTAAATCCTATTCAGAGAAGACCTAAAAATATGAATATCTGTGAGTTGTAGATGTCCATACTGGTTGTTCTGAATGTATTATAGAAATGTATGTGGTGCATAAGACTGGTTAGGTTAGTTTTTCCAACTGAGAAATTGAGAGTCACCTTCAATATTATTCGCGGCACATAATTACACACAGCTGACGTAAGGTTCAAACAATCAATTAAATTATGCAAACACTTGTGTAAAAAAATTACACCACGCTTAAGTGCTCTAAAGCTCAGGGTAGGACAGCCAGATCGTTGTAAATGTCAAGCATAATCATAATAAACAGTGCGGCCAATGTAGCGGTCATACACCATTCAAAAAATATAAATAAAGCGTCTCAGAAAATTTTTAGTCTTAGCTTGATTTGTACAACCAATACAGTTCCAAACGATTGAATTGAACTCAAGTTTGGTTTGTATCAAAGAACAATCTAAACAGACGCCTGCAGAAGTGACGAGTGCACTTGGAGACAAGAGCATGCTATAGCTTTAGGTCTACCGCTAATCTCTCCAATCACTTCCCCGCGCGCTCTCGTCTCCTCCTCTCCCTCACTTTTTCGGCGCATAACAAAATTCATTTGTGCATGTCCTATATCCCTGGCCTCAATGAAAGTATAGCACACGTTTCTGTTGAGAACAATATCTACGTACAAGTAACAGGTAAAAATCAGTATCCACGTTCTAATGTTCCAGGTGTTTAGACAATTATACACAAACGACTTAGGAATTACCCTCGGTTATCATCGCAGGTATCTAAAGAAACAAAATCTCTTTATTAAAACAATAAAAAATCCCCTTAACATTGTTTTAATTTGTTTTTTCTTAGGGAACAACGTTTTGATTATGGGCATTTGTTTAATGAAATACGCAAAATCACTCTAAACCTTCAAAACTCCGTCAATCTGTGATTTTATAAAAATAGAAACCAAGACGGATACCCACGTACGTAGACAGTCCTCACACAAAACTGGAGAGCATAAAGCGTTTAACGACCCTTATTTTATAATCGTTTTTCAGCAGACTCGTCGAATTTTTGCGGTGAAAATATGTCGCATAGAACACTGCAATTAAGCACTTCTGAGTGGGGTTTAATTCGAAGTGCTTTACTTCCAAATCTTATTAATTAATTCGTTTTGCTATTTCAACGGCAAATTTAAGCAGCGGTCCGAACTGCCTGAATTTGATAATTTGCCTGTCAAAAAGTCGCTGCTAGAATTGGAATCGTCAGGTAAAGAAGTTTCATTTATGCCCAATCAAGACAATGACGCTTCACAATTCACACACTAGAACGTAAATATCTGAGGGAGTAATAGATCTGGTTGGGTGAAACTATAGTGATCAAACAAAAATATTCCAACCAAAGCTTTGCACAAGTGTTTCAGCGTTTTGAAACCTACTTAGTTTCTCCGAATTCAGTTATGTCTGAATTGCGTCTGTGAAGCCGGTCTTTTCTTTGTCTACCATTCACGTAGCATTTAACAAAAAAATAAAAGATAAAAATAACTTAGGAATCATAGCACCGTTTTCCGATTAGGTGTTAGTATTTGTTTGCTAGACCTTTGTCCCTCCCACTCATTATCCAGCGCGCCTTCGAGGACCCTGAGTAAACATGTCCATCCGACTGTACAACAGAACGACAATCTTTTAAGGTGCCAGTCTTTAAATAGCAAACCCCTCACCTACACGCATGAACAAAACGCAAGCAAACCTTTTCTACAACAAAAAGAGAGGCCACGACGCATATTTCTTCGTGCGAGTGGCAATTTAAGCATAGTGGACCTAACAGCCAGGCTGTCGGGAAGTTAGGCGGCGAGCTTTAGCGTATCTATCAAGTCTCCCTGGTAACACTTTAGTTTTCGTTTAGTTGTTAGTTTTTTTGTTTTTTTTTATTTTTGTCGGGGTACGTTATCTATAAATTAATCGCAAGAGTTCCCTTCTGATCAATACCTCATTACCGTCAATTTTGTGGCTGTACCCCTTTTGGGCTCTTGCCTTCGCGATGTTCCATCGTCTAGTTCTTACTCTCCTCTTCCCAGCTATGTAGTGTGTGAGGAAGTAAAATAAAATGCAGAGAATTCTATTTTTTGCGCTTTACCGAACCCCTTCACGAATCAGACCCCCATGGAATAGGCCCTTCTGTCGGAAACATTTTCTACCCTTAACTTCCTGACTCCTCGCATAAACTAATATAGTTACTACTTTTTTTTTTTTTTTGCTGCGTCTATATAGTTTGATGGGGTTGCTGGTCTGTAGGTTTTTGTTTCTTCTTCGCAGCAGTTGCTTAGATGTAGTTTCTTTAGGTTTTCGTCTTTCCAACGCAAGGAAGTTTAGGCAAGCAAAATATTGATCTTGCTCAATATGCGAGAGCAGACGTATTTGAGAGAGATGCGAAGAATATACCCTGTCGGTGGTTGTGAAAATTAACCAAGTTTTCGTACACGTGCACTTCGACCAGTTACTACTACTGCTGTGCGGAATGTAGGCACCTATGTTTCCTCGGATGCTTCCCTTCTCGTCGAATGTGTATAATTCGTGAATAATACAGGCAGTTTCGGTGGAAGGCACGACCTGTATGTAGTACGGGGCTCGTGACATTCTAACGACGAAATGGCCGTCACGAAATATGCAAGGATTGATTTAGCCTACAGTGGCTGCCTAAGAAACGCATAGTGCGGTTCGTGATGCTCACGCCTCTCGCTTCACGATTCGTTGTTTGTTGTTTTTAACGACTAATCACGCACTCTCACTGGCTGCGAAGAAATAAAATATCCCTAGGACTTTCTACACTTTGCGTTCCTTGAGCTTTGAGTGACTGTAAAGTTTGCAAAAATTGTATTGAGAGAAAAAAAAAAAACTAAAAACGTTATGACAGTTGCGTTGTGCGTACGTTAAGACAGCCGGAAGTTAGTCAGCTTCAGCGAGCGTCTGGTGTCTCAGTTGTAGACGAGAAATTTAGCCAGCGCAGTACAACCGCTAGCCTAGGGTATTTAACGAGCACCACTCAGTAGGGATAGAGGACCGAGCGCAGGTACCAACGTTACTAAAACACTCAGTTGGGAAACTCCCTTAGAGACAGCCCTAAAAATATGGCCCCAATCTGTCTCCGAGCATCGAGCTAATGACGAACACAACGCCACCATTTCTCCCGCAGCGGCCACTCGAGAAACTGCACGTGACTTCTATTTTTGGCTTAGACAGGGGCGAACCCCCGTCTCCCCGGCGGAACGCGCCGCGTCGAACTACTGAAGTTAAAATGCGCCTAGGTCGGGACGCGCTACCTGAAAGGCCCGCTGAGGCATGGTTGTATAAAAACAATATTAATTGTTCCGCAAAACCTTGCGAACTAAAGATGATAAAAACATCACGCGCCCATCATTTGATACCAAACTCCAATAAATTTAATACAAAAAGAGTCTTTTCCGTTTGTTTTTACGCAAAAACAGGCTTTCAAAAAGCTCAAGGTGATTACAGTACAGACAAACGATAAAGAGTGGCGCTGTTGTCGCATTTAGCTCGGTCTCGGTGGACACCAGCGGCCCAGGTTTCGACG